CGTGGCGTAGCCTCTATTTTCAAACCGCGCGCTCATTCTTACTTCCCGCGTGTGGTCCGTCTATTCTATGCCAACATGGTCCACTCATGTGAGGAATCAGACAAAATCAAAACCACCATTGATGATAATGATTATGAATTCGACCTCGATGACCTTGCTATGGCTATGGATTGCCCTTTGATTTCGCCAGTGGATGAGGCGGGCCTCCCCCTTTATGTTGAAGGTCCTGATCAGCCTACCTTAGCGGACATTGTGGGAGAAATTTGTCATGGTCAATTCACCGGAAACAGAACCACAAGCACCAATAAATCTTTCTTACCTTGCCGGCTATGGTTTCTCGATTCGGTCCTGGCCAAGAACGTCCTACCCGTGCCAGGCCATCCTGAGCGAAAGGGGGAATTTCTGAAAACCCTCTACTATGCTGAAAATGAGTGTTGGTTTTGTATCCCACAACTTGTCTGGGACCAATTGCTAAAAATCTACAAGGAATTAATCTTGGTTTGGTCGCGCACCACCATAACCTGGGTATTCCCATTTCCATACCTTATTACAAGGTTGCTTAAAAATATGGGGTTCCGAGCTCCCCGTGGTGAACAGAAAGAGAAAATTATGTTGAACTTCACCCTTGGAGTCTGGAAGTCCAGCACAGCTCAACTTTAGACGTCTCGTCAGGCCCGCATTGGTGACGAGTTGGATTGGGGTGCTCCGGCCCCCCCTGTGGCTCCTGCTCCTCCTTCTCCTGGTGCCCACGCTTCTCCAGCTGCCACTTTTGTCCCATCGCCGGATGTCACGACTCGCGCCGACTATCTCGCCTTGGATGCTTGTCTCGATACTTTTTCCTTGTGCTTTGATGCTATAGAGGGTACCGTCCAGAAAACCCAAGAGAATCAAGCGATTTTGTAGGCTATGCTCCAGTCATTGATAGACCGAGCGCCAGGCGCACCTGGTGCTTCCTCCTCCATGCCGATGGAGGATTGATTTCCCGTTTCTCATTTTATTTCCCTTTTGCAGTAGTACTACTTTTAGACTTCTTTTGGGCCGCGTTTGGCATTTCTTTTCCAAGTTCTTTTCAACTTTTAACTGCATCTCTTTTGTTATTTTGCATGGATTCTAGCTTTGAAATAAATTGCAGTTATCGTTAGTAATTTTTGGATTCATTTGATTCTTGCTCTATATAGATGCTTTTGACAGGTTTTTGATTTCAAGTTTGGGGGTATGCTCTTGGAATTCACAAAGTGGCTTATTTTTGCACCGCTACTCTATTCCTCCTCAACTTGGTACTATTGTTCTTCGCACTCTCCAGTTTTCTTTCTAATTCTCTTATCCTTTGTCTTCTCACATTGAGGATAATGTGACATTCAAGTTTGGGGGTGCATGTGCTTTCATTCGTATGATTTTTGCTCATTTTTTATGCTCATAAGTTAATAAAATCATGTTGTTTAAAGCAATGATAGTGTAACTATGGAACTTATTGAAAGTTGAAGCATGTACGTAATACTTTGTGTATAGAAGCCAATATAATTTTTGAAAATAAGGAAACTTTTGAAATAAACATGTTGATTCATAGTTGGTTTGTATAAAGATTTTAATTAAATTTCTGTCAGAGTTCATACTCTTTTATGCTTCACATTGCATATTTGCACATCGGAAACCTAATTGTGAGGCATGCAACCCGAATTGACCTTGATCGGGACTCAGTGATCTGAATTAATGACCCTAATGAATGGATACCCTTGGCATTTAAGTTAAAAAAAAAAAGAAAAAAAAAAAGAAAAGAAAAAAAAAAGAGAGCAATCAATGACCAGTCGAAGTTCGTAGCCTTTCCAGCTCAAGTTATTAAGCCCTAGGAGTATTTCTACACTTAGCATCCTAAAACCATCTGGTTTGGGAGTTGTTGGCCTAGCACTTGTTATATGGGTTGGTTAGAAAGCTTAAAGAACCTAGACATTGCACGGTTATTCAAAAAATAAATAAATAAATTTGGTTCGTCGAAGTTCGTAGCCTTTCCAGCTCGAGTTATTAAGCCCTAGGAGTGTTTCTACACTTAGCACCCTAAAGCCATCTGGTTTGGGAGTTGTTGGCCTAACGCTTGCTACATGGGTTGGTTAGAAAGCTTAAGGGATTTTGGCATTGCACAACCAATAGTTAGTTTTCTTTTGTGTGAACAATAGAATTCTCAATAAGTAATAAAAGTTGCATTGTGAATAAAATTATGCCATGGGGACCTCATTTTGAAGGAGATTTAAGGATGTGAAAATGTGTTCTTGGGATTGGAAAAAGAGGGTAAAAGCCGCATATTGGGAATTCGGCCCACTATCACTGAAGTTAGAGTTCATGTTATTCAAGAGATGATAATTGAAGTTTTTATATAGAGCTTAATGATTGATGCATTTAAGATTGAACTCATTTTTGCCATTTTGATTATTAAGGCTTCATATATGCAAGGTAGTCTGTTTAATGGAACTTCCTCTATTTTTTTTTGTCATTCCATGTTACATTGGAGCTTCATAGATAAATTTCTTGCTTAATGATTGATGCATGTTGTCATTTTTCCTAGATTCTATATTTTATTTTGCTAAGGGACTAGCAAAATGTAAGTTTGGGGGTGTGATAAGCGCTGAATATTGCATATTCAAGCGCCCTTTTCTTGGCATTAGTTAAGTCTGTTAATGGAGTAGAATGTACAGTTTTAATTTATTTTTTCACTTTTGTCTTGTTTCAGGTCGGTCTCCCTGAATTTGATCAAAGAAGCGGTTTTGGCATCAATTATGTTAAAATACGTGCGCTGTGCCGGGGAGTCATCTTTTGGACTTGACTTCTCCTGTTGCCATTTTATGAAGTCATGACTGAGTGTTCGTCGTGGGAGTTCATCCACGGTCCGGCTTGAAGAAGGCTTGCAAGAAGCCTTGATAATGTTGCAAAGGCAAGCTCTCGCGGGCGCCGGCCGAATGCCTCACCTCTCTGTTTAATTTCGCGGTGCCTTGCAGAAGCCCCCGCAGTAGCTCCCGCGCACCACCGCGGGCGTTCGCCATCGCTTCGCGGGCGCCCGCCAAACATGCCAGTAACATCCTCGCGAGCCGCAGCTTCGACGGGCGCCCGCCGACGCCTCGCGAGAGCCCGCCGGCCCTCTGCAAGCAGTTCACCTGCCCCTTTTTTTCAGCATTTTTGTTCCCTTATCTTCCTTTTATGTGGTGGAGATTGAGCCAGAGGGGGGAGCTCGGGATTTTGGAGTATGGGGAGTAGGTTTTGGAAGGATAAGAAGGGGGTATGATCATATATATCTCATATCTCAAATTTAAAAAGCTAGAGGGGAGGTGGAAAGCTTTTTGGGTGTTTTTGGAGCTTAAGGTGCAACAATGGAGAATTCTTTTTCTTCCTTCTCTCCACCCCTTGCATTAATGGGTAACTAAACCTCCATCTAGGGAGGTGATGATGCCTTCCCTTGTAATCATGTTTTAGATTAGGCTCTATTTTGGGGATAAATATGTATAATTTTTGGTCTTCTCATAATCTAGAGCATATTACTTTTTGTAATGAATTTCAATGTTCATAAATGATTGATGTAAGTTAATTATCTTGTCTTTGATGATCCTTATATTAATCTTAATGCTTACATTTTCATGGCGACAATGGAAATAAGATTATGAGTGGTTTTCATGGCATGTTGATAGAGAAACTTGATAGTCCATTGCTTAGGTATTCCCTTTGATGGTTTAAGTACATCAACTTGTCCTGAACAGTACTAAATGTCACATACTTGGACCTTTCCAAGCTCACGTGCGGCCTTAGACACTTTCAAGCCCCCTTGAAGCGCTAAGTCAGCCTACCTGAGTGTGCTAGCTTAGTGAAGACTAAGGCTAGACAAATACTTTGCTTACTTGGGTGTGTAGGAAGAGATTAGGCAAGTGAGCAAGAGAGTTTGGGAATGTATGAACACTTGTATTACTTGAGAGAAGATTACAACTTAGGTTGCTTGGTGAGGAGCAAATGAACTCCCACCTCCTATTTTATAGGCCTTTGGCCTTACAAGAACATTCTAGATGTGTATAAATGTGTGGCCTAGATTAAGTGTCTAGAATCCTCCAAAAATATATCTACACAATTCTAGAACTATCTACAATGTACAAGACAAGTCTAGAGAATTATAGAGAATTCTATATAACTCTAGACAAGTCTAGAAAAGGCTAGACAACTCCACACTAATCTAGAGAATTCTGGAAAGTTCTATACTTTTGTAGAGAAGTCTAGAAAGCTCCGGTCCATGCAGGCTCCATGTCATCGTCTGTTGGGCGTTTGTGTGGCGCTTGCATGGCGTAGCCTCTTAGTTGCGGGGCGTGACATAAAGGCTAAATTTTTACCCCAGAATGAGTTCCAATCATAAGCAACCAAAAATACTACAAAGTTGTCAAACATTGTATGTCCTCACTTAACAAAGAAAAGGCCCTAGGAGCTGATGGATAGGCATTTCTTTCTACAATCGTGGCCCACCATTGATAATTCGATCATAAAAGCAATAAGGGAATTCATCACACAAGGCAAAGCTGTTTAAGGAGTGATTCTATTGATGTCTTATTACAGGTGTGGCAGTGTTGTTGGAGGGTTAAGGGTCATCCCTTCAAGTACCCTCATCTATAAGTCGGGAGTTCGATAGTCTTATTACAATATATATTATATAATTTTTATTTATTTATTTATTTTTTATTTATTTATTTTTTTATTTTTCAAATCTCATACTCCTTATCTCCGAATCTACAATAACAACACAAGATATATATATATGTAATGTCACAAAATAATTTATGGAAATGAGTTTCACCTGATAGACCCAGCAAGAAGTTCTATTATATTAAATAGACCAACCTTTATTATAAGAGAAATCAGAGACAACATACCAGGTTGTTCCTCTAATATCTTATTACAAGGTACGTAGAAATATTTTCACAGGATAAAATACCAAATCAAACATACAAGCATATATACATATGAAAACAAGAACATCATGAACTAGGAAATTACTGTGTTGCCTTTACTATTTGCACCTCGCTAGCTTTAGCAAGGAAGTACAACACAGAGCATCCATTATTCTGATCACATCCAATGCAAGCACAGGTTTATTGATCCAAATACTAGTATATATAATTAAAGTGGTTCGAACAACTAAAAATGTGCTTCGATGGAATCAAGACAGTGTCCGGACCTTCCACAGAACTCAACAATCTTCCCAAATCAGCTTGGAGATGAAATCCGCCTTGACATTAAATATGCACCAATCGCATCAAGATGAGAACCAGACCTTCCATGAAGTCCAATAATTTTGCTGCCAATATATGATGTCGGGAATGTGAAATGGTTCCCGATTTCACTGCCAAATGGTCCATACGTTCTTTTATTGCTCTGAATTGTGAGTGACTGGAGTGCAACAAATGCAGATTCCAAACTGTAGTAGCCCGAGATTGAAAGAAGAAATTCATTTGGATAGTCAAATTTAACCTACAAGAGTCCCATTAACAAAATTAATAAGGATACCATTTTTAGCATAACATATAAATACCTTCAGAGAAGAAAATTTAACAATATTCTTACAAACACCTCATATTTTATATAGCCAATTAAAAGAAAAAGTAGAATGAAATTTAACAATATTATCAGAAGGGATAATGTTTTAATGAGCTTAGGGACCTTATTGTCATTTTTTTAAAAGAAAAAGTATAATGAAGTACAATGGAAGAAAAGTGGAGTGCGAATATTATCGCCTTCTTTTTCTTTTTTCTTTTGATAAATAATATATATATATATATATAGACATATATAGGTTATTTACCAGCCTTGCGGACATTTATTTCACATGGCAAAATATAGTATTTACACATGAAACAAAATTCTCTCCCATACTCTTTTACTGAGAACGATTGAGATCATTTCAGAGTGTCTTGAAAACATGTTACTTTGAAAACAATTTCTATCACTCTGTGTACATCAAATAGTAGACGAGAGATAAAGAGTTGGAGCTTCTAGTGGGACAATTTGTTGGTGTGTATTTGCTTTATCTTCCGAAAAGAAAATTGAGAAACAATTAAGAACTAACCGTTTGTGTGAAATGTGAATATCTATCAGAAATATATATATATATATATATATATATATATATATATATATATATATATGAGTATATATCAAATGGAAGAAAATGGACTAACCGTTTGTTTGTTCCCGCCAGTACTTTCTCCATGCTTATGAGACCATACTGACTCTCCATTCTTATCATACTCAATCTGTATGGAATCAACCACTACTCCAGCATATATGATAAACTGTCTCACTGAAGTGTAAATACCATCGTCCCACTGATCTCCACCGTAGCCTCCGAAAGGTCCAACAACTGTTTGTTGGCGTGTATATGGGAATGACTCAACAGATTTGGATTGATTGGGATCTGAACTTGGCTCCAAATATGCTCCAAAGCAATCAAGATAGTGATGAGATCTACCATGAAATCCTACAATCTTGCCACTTGTTAATGGAAACTTGAAATATTTTCCTTTCTCTGTACCAAATGGTCCGTATATTCTCTGATTACTTTCAATTGTGAGAGATTGAACACATGTCAGTGCACAATCCGAACTATAATAGCCCCAGATTGAAAGGAGATATTCAGACCGGTAGTCAAATTTGACCTATAACGATTGATCGACCAAAATGAGGAAGTTAGGCAATAGCATTGAGATTTGCAAGTGATTACACAATAGAGAATAAAAAAATTTATAATGAGATCAAGTTTTACCAAAGTATTGGTCAAGCATAAAAGCGCAAAAAAAGAAAAGTGAGTTATTTTCGTAGGATAAATTTAAAGGATAATACTTACCTTAGGCTTTATAAGAAGGAAGTTCTTCTAATGGGTGATGTGTCATAATAAAAGATTGACATGTGTACCAATATATATATATATATATATATATATAATGAGGGATTACAGATCGAGGAGTATTTCATTCCGAAACCTTAATCACCATCACTCCTCAGCCGCCGCACCACCACTGCCACTCTTCATGCCACAGCCACTCTCTCTCCACTCCACTGCTCCTCTTCTTCTTCTTAGTATACTTGGAATGAATTAAGGTTGACTCATTAGAACATAGGAATAACGATTTTAGATATTCTCTTGTTTTTCACTGTCACTCCTCCAAAACTATAAGGTTTTGATTAAAGGGTATGAAATCTTTATTAGAGCCTCTGTTCGGGGCCAAATATATAACCATAAAGAGATGAGGGAGAAAGGGGATAGACAAACAGATCATAAAATTATAAATACTAGGGTTTTGATGTCGTGTATTGTAAATAGGAAATTTTGTTGGAAGATTAATTTAGACTTGTCTAGATTCATTTAAGAAGACCAAGTGACACTTGGGAAGGTAGAAAGATTATCATAATAATTACTAGTACATGGAACATTTTGGTTCATATGAAATATTATGGTTCATTGTATGTATTAAATTCATGTATTAGAAGTATCCTTGGAGTAGTATAAATAGGTGAGTCATGTTAGTGAATGATAGACACACAAACAATTGAGCAATACAAGATATAAGAATTCAGTAATGTAGAAGTGAATGTTTCTGAATTGTGTGTTTGCTAATTCAGTTGAATACACGTGAGTGTATCCCATTTATGTTCACTTGCCCACCAAACTCCAATAAAGTGGTATTAGAGCCTTGTCACAAGATCGACAAAGAAAAATGGCGTCTAACAACATGTTGCGGCCTTAACTTCCCAAGTTTAATGGGAAGAATTATAATCAGTGGAGCATACAAATGAAGGTGTTGTATGGATCCCAAGATTTATGGGAAATTATTGAAAACGGTTTTGTAGAACCAGAGAATTAAACGGGGCTGTGTCATGCACAACTCAATGAGTTAAAGGAGAATCGAAAGAAGGACAGGAATGCGTTGTTTTTCATTTATCAAGCAGTTGATGAAGTAATTTTTGAAAGAATCTCGACAGCCATTACAGCAAAGCAAGCGTGGAATACGTTACAGGCCATTTATAAGGGTGAAGATAAAGTTAAAGTGGTGATATTGCAAGCTATTCGAGTTGAATTCGTTACGATTAAGATGAAAGATTCTGAAAGTGTAGAAGAATACTTTAATCGTATTCTTTCGATCACTAACCAATTGAAGGTGAATGGAGAAGATATTTAAGATCAAAGAATTGTTGAAAAAATTCTCCGAAGTATGCCTAGAAAATTCGAACACATTGTTGTAGCAATTGAAGAGTTGAAAGATTTGTTGACTTTGTCATTAAATAGCTTGATGGGATCACTCCAATTTCATGAGCTTCGATTAAAGAATTTTGATTCAACGCCTCTAGAACAAGCATTTCATACTCAAACTTCTTTTAGAGAAGATTCGAGGGGAACAAGAAGTGATCGAGGTGGCTGAGGATGAGGAATAAATAGTGAAGGAAGAATTTTTGAGTCTAAGGAAAATGCTAATTTTCCTCCTAATAAAGGAAGAGGAAGAGGAATGAATAGAGGTCAAGGCCGAGGCCGAGCCAGAGGACAAGGTAAAGGTCACGGTGACTCATATCATCTCCAGTGTTTCAATTGTGGAAAATTGGGGCATTTTCAAGTAGATTGTTGGTTCAAAAAGAATGCCAATGAAGCAAGCAGCAGTTTGACATTCATACAAAAGGAGGAAGAAAAGGAAGAATGAATTTTCATGTTGGCTTGCAATACATAAGAAGAAGTCTCAGAAAATATATGGTATATCGACAGTGATTGCAGCAATCATGTTACTGGAGATAAAAATGCCTTTGCAAATTTGGATGAATCTATCCTAAGTGAAGTCAAAACTAGTAATAATAAAAAGGCATTACGTTAGAGGAAAAAGGCGACATTTTTGTTAAAAGCAAGAAGGGAGTGCAGAAGATTACTAAAGTATATTATGCTCCAGGTCTTAAATACAATCTTTTAAGTGTTGGACAGATTCTGTAAAAGGGAAATGATGTACGCTTCAATAAAGATGTGTGTGTGGTCAAAAACAAAAATGGTGGGCTGATTACAAAGGTACAAATGACACAAAACAAAATGTTTCTAATGAAGCTTATGTATGAGAAGATGGTCAATTTTATTGCCGTGATAAATGAAGAATTGTGGCTATGGCATCACAGATATAGGCACGTGAGTTTCAACTCATTATGCCACATGTGTCAAAAGAACATGGTGAAAAGAATCAATAGAGAAGATAGAGTTTGTGAAGCCTGCATTTTGGGAAAGCATCATCGAGAGCCTTTTCCCATTGGAAAGGCATGGAGAGCTTCAAAACCAGTTAAGTTGGTACATTTAGATTTGTGTGGACCAATGCAAACCGTATCAATGGAAGGTAATCGTTACTTTTTGACGTTTATAGATAATTATAGCAGGAATACATGGATTTATTTGCTGAAAGAAAAGAGTGAAGCATTTGAAAGATTTAAAGCATTCAAAGCCCTTATCAAAAATGAAAGTGGATACAAGATCAAAACCATACGATCTGATCGAGGTGGGGAGTACATCAGTTATAAGAAGTTTTTGATCAAGCATGGCATTCGACATTAGAAAATTGTTCGAGGGACTTCACAACAAAATGGAGTTGTTAAAAGGAAAAACAGAACCATCATAGAGTTGGCTCGAAGTATTTTGATAGCAAAGGGGATGCCAAAGATTTTTTTGGGGTGAAGCAGTATCATGTGTGGCATATTTACAAAATCAAGCTACAACAAAAGCTATTCAAGGAATGACTCCTTATAAAGCTTGGAACAGATTAAAGCCAAGTGTTAATTATCTAAGAATTTTTGGCAATATTGCTTACTCCCATATTATAGACGAGAAGAGAGGTAAATTGGATGATAAATCTGAAAAGTATGTTTTTGTTGGCTATAGTGAAAGCTCGAAGGCATATAGGTTGTACAATCCTACTACAAAGAAGATAATCATCAACCGAGATGTGAAGTTCAATGAAAAAGAAGCATAGAAATGCGAAAATACCATTCAAAAAAAGAATTCAATTGTTGTGGATATAGAAAGCAGAGAAGAAGATCAAGATGTTCAGCATTTTGAAAACACACCAGATTCTCCAAGCTCTAGTTCATCATCATCAAGTGATGAAAAATCACCTCATCCAAAAACAAGAAGCATCCAACATATTTATGAAGCAACAAGAAGAATTGATGGAGATAACTTGATAAATTTTGTGATGTTTGTTGATGCAATAAATTTTGAAGGAGCTGCAAAAGATAAGAAATGGAAGAAATCTATAGACCAAGAAATTGATGCAATCAAAAGGAACAAGATATGGGAATTAACCGAGCTTCTAAAAGACAAAAAACCACTTGTTGTGAAGTGGGTTTACAAAACAAAGCTAAATGAGAAGGGAGGAGTGGACAAGTACAAGGCAAGACTTGTTGTGAAAGGCTACAAACAAAAGCATGGCATCGATTATGAAGAAATTTTTGCTCCGGTGACACGATTGGAGATAGTTTGATTAATTCTTGCAATAGCAGCTCAAAAAGGATGAAAATACATTAAATGGATGTTAAATCAGCATTTTTAAATGGCTACATTAAAGAAGAAGTTTATATTAAGCAACCACCAGGTTATGTGAAGAAAAGTGAAGAAGGCAAGGTATGTTATTTGAAGAAGGCCTTATATGGTTCAAAACAAGCTCCAAGGGCTTGGTACTGTCACATTGATTATTTTTTTTTTCATAAAGAATGGGTTCAGGAGATGTCCTTATGAACATGCTCTCTACACTAAGGAAGACAAAAGTGGAAATATTTTAATAGTTTGTTTATATATTGATGACTTAAATTTCACCAGTAGTTATAAGAAAATGTGTGATGAGTTTAAGATGTTGATGATGAATGAGTTCGAGATGACAGATATGGGTCTTCTTCATTATTTCCTTAGAATCAAAGTTAAGCAAGACAATGATGAGATCATAATTTCACAAACGAAATATGCAAAAGATTTGCTTGCAAAGTTCAAAATGGAGGAAGCCTCACCAAGTAAAACACCCATGGAAGTAGGTTTGAAGTTAAGTAAAAATGATGGGAGTGAAGATTTTGATGCTATAAGCAAAAATGATGGGAGTGAAGATTTTGATGCTACTGTCTATAGAGGTCTTGTGGGAAGTCTTATGTACTTAACCACAACAAGACCAGATTTAATGTTTTCAGTTAGCATGCTAAGCAGGTTCATAGCAGCACCAAAGCAAAGTCATTGGGATACTAGAAAGAGAATTATGAGATATGTTCGAGGTACAATTGACTATGGAATTCATTACAAGAGGGGTCAAAATTCAACTCTAATCGGATATAGTGATAGTGATTGGGGAGGTAGTGGGCATGATCACAAAAGTACTTCTTGTTATGTCTTTAACATTGGTTCAGATGCAGTATCTTGGGCATCGAAGAAGCAATCAGTAGTAGCACTTTCAACTACAGAAGCTAAATATATTTCTCTATCCACAACTAGTTGCCAAACACTATGGTTGAAATGGGTATTAGAAGATTTGAAGTATTTTCAGGTGAAAGATACTGTTTTGTTTTGTTATAATAATTCAGCAATTGCACTTAACAAGAATCCAGTTTTTAATGGCAGAAGCAAGCATATTAGAATTGTTGAAGCTAAAATCCTCGT